TTGGGATAAAAAAAAATATGGTCAGCCTAAAATGTAATGTTCGTTCTGGTCATATCAAACTGTGCTACCTTTCTCTCAAAGGCCCAATGGCCCAATGGGTCACAAGATTGTCTGGTGGTCTTTAAATCTCTGGCTCTACTAGCATGAGCACATTGATCCCAGATCACCAACTTCCCAGCAGACAGGTTGGCTGGAAAACTTCCCTGAATTAAATAAGCTTAGAAACCACTATGCTGCCAAATATTACATCTTTCCTGGTACAGTGGAACCTCGGTTCACAAACTTAATTCGTTCCGCGACTCTGGTGGAAGCAAATTTCCCCATAAGGTTCAATGTAATTACCGTTAATCTGTTCTGGCGTGGAGGACAGGGAGGTGGCTATTGCTTGGAGGGAGAGTCCCCCTCCCTACGACCACGTGTCAGAGGCGGAAAATGGCTGCGGACCACGTGTCAGGGGCGGAAAATGGCCGCGGACCGTGTCACAGGAGGGAAAATGGCCGCGGATCCTGTTCGTGACCCGATCCGGTGTTCGCGAACGGAGGCAAAATTTTGCGACCGGAGCTGTTCGTGACCCGAATTGGTCGTGAACAGAAGCGTTCGTGACCCGAGGCACCACTGTATTTGATTATAACATTCACCAGTCCCTCTTCAAGAGATTGAAATAGAACATTGATTCCTGATGAAATAAATATTATAAAGGGGATAGAGATGTAGGGTAACCCAAAATTCAGTTTCACCCATAAGCAGGCACTCTGAAATCTGAAGTTCCAGAAGGACACGGACACAAATTCTTTCTTTCACAATTCGACAACGGCCCTTTAGTATAACTTTCCAAACTGAAACTGATTCGAAGAAAAAAATATATCTGACCAGGAAGTGCCCAATCCTGCAGGGCCAGGCACAGAAAATGGGGCCTTTCCCCATTTGCCTCAGTCACAGAGTAAACAAGTCCCAGCAACCGTTTTCTCTGCCACATCCTCAAAGTGGTGCTTTCATTTTATCCCCAGCCTGGGAATAAAACAGCCTTAAGTTGTCTTAGTCATACTGGTGTGAAAGTGATGTTTTCTCCCTTATTTCCTTGGAGGGAAGTCAGGGGACTTCAGTGATGGGACCAGAGGCGAAAAGGCCGGAGGGGGATCCAGAGGGGAGCAAAATACAGCATGCTGGGTGGTAGGCACAGCTTTGCAGCCAAAGCCCCTTTTCTCCACGTGTGCAATATCGCTGTACATACAAAAGCTTTGGGATGTCAGTTGTAACCCTGCTTCCACCATCTTATGTATTTTGACATATGCACCCTGTAGACAACACTGAAATTCAACCACCTTTCATGCTGGTGTAGTTTTCTGCCAGCTCAAGGATGGATAGGTGGTTGGAGTTACCAGAGATCCTGCAAAAGGAGGACTCTTTGTCCTCATGTTCTCCGTCTAGCAGGCATAAAATGTTCTGTTCGGCTTTTTGAGTATCTTGGGTTTTATTTTTATTTTTATTTTGGGCTGTTTTCACAACAGTAGTTATTCAAAGGTTTATGCATTGTGACCTTGTAAACTGTGTGCATCATTCTTTTCCTTGTCCATCGACACACTCGACAGCCTAGATTTATGTTATTTATTTCCAGATTCCAGCCCTTTCCAATATATGATCATTGTAGTCTGTGGATCCCTTGACTCATCATATGTTTCTGTGGTGAAATTTGGAAACCACGTCATTGTCAGTTCTGTGTTATTGCTAGCATATGTTCTTGAAAATGAAGATTTGTTGGAAAAATATTGTGATTGAAAAACCACTCTTTCTGATCCTGGAAAAAGTAATTTCATATGCATGTAGGGCCATTTTTTGCAGTTTTTCACTGTAATTTTTATCATGGAGGCCAAGAAAGTAAAACAGTTAGTGTGTCCTGCTTTTCCCCATTTCTCCTCCTTTCCTATTGTCCATACCCTCCTTTGCCTCTTCAGATATCTGGTCACCCTATGGTCACTATGGCAAGTCCTTCAGAATGGTCCAGGAAATGGTCAAGAACCCCATCCTCCCTATATTTTGGAAATATGAACTCTTCCACAGGTGCTACTGGGAATGATGGCTTACTCACAGTAGAAGACCTCTGCTCTTCAACTTCTCCCTTTCCAACTGAGGACTGCCTGATCCTCCAGCTATCTCTATCCAGTTCCAGGGTTTTAATCTTTCCACTGTGGAGTCCTTGGTGCTCTCTGAGCTTGGCTGTTTGCTTGCAGACATTTCATTTCCCAGCAACGTAACATCATCAGCACCAAGAACTCCACAGTACCACCCTGAGCTACAGATATTCTCTTGTATTGGATTTTTTCCACTTCTTCTAGTTACTTTTTTGTTGTTGCTGGAAAATTACTGTTGGTAATTTCCATTTAAATTGCACCCAGGTTGAGTCTGTCCATGTGTTGTGACATTAAGGAGTTTTCATCATGTCTTCTGACTACTAGTTGGTGTTCATGGATGCACTCTGCTAGTCTTCTGCGTGAGGAGTTTTCATCATGTCTTCTGACTACTAGTTGGTGTTCATGGATGCACTCTGCTAGTCTTCTGCGTGAGGAGTTTTCATCATGTCTTCTGACTACTAGTTGGTGTTCATGGATGCACTCTGCTAGTCTTCTGCGTGTCTGTCCTACATAGTGGCTATTACGGTCCTTTATGTTGTAGATGACTCCTGCTTTTTCTTCTTAGGCTACTGGGTCTTTTGGTTTACTTAAGATGTTTTGGAGGGCTTTAGTTGGTGTGTGTGCTACAGAGATGCCATGTGGTTGTAATACTCTGTTGGTTGTTTCTGAGATGTTTCTGATGTATGGCAGTGTGATCCTTTTCATAGCTTGTGTTGGTCGTGTTGTAGTACACAGAGTGGTCAGGCACTTTTTGATAAAAGTTGCGTGGATATCCATTTTGTTGGAAGGTGTTGTATAGGTGGTCTGTTTCCTTTTTCTGCTGTTCTGGGTTGCTGCGGTGCATTTGCGCTCGTTTGAATAATGTTCTTGTGGGAGGTGGGGTTGTTGCTTCGATCATGGAGCACTTGGTTAGTGTGGGTTGTTTTCTGATAGACTTGAGTTTCCAATTTGCTGTTTCCTCTCCTGATGATATCCAGGAAGGGTGGCGTGTTGTTGTTTTCTTCCTCACTGGTGGATTTTATTCCTTTGAAGATGCTGTTGATTGTTTCATGTGTCTTCTCTAGTTGTTCTTTTTTTATTATGATGAAGGTGTCGTCTACATACCGGATCCATACTTTTGGTTTGAAATTAAATAGCACAGTTCTTAGTTAACTTTCCCTATTTTCCTCTAGAAAATAGATTGCTTTGGAGCAGATGTTACTCTGTGGCAGTTACTCTGTGGCAGTACTCTGTGGCACCCTCTGCTTCCTGAGCATGGACAGTTAAATCCCACTATTTTTTGCCTCTCCTCCAGATAAATCAAAATCAAACCATATCTTCATTTTGGTCATTGATTAGTAGAACTCTACTCCAACCTCTTCTAGCTACTGATTTAAAAAAAAAAAAAATCTTCTCCTAACTAACAGAAAGGGAGGGGTTGGGGAAAATCTGCCTGTTGCATATTTGCCTAAGCTCATGTGCTTTTGCTTTTAATGGAGAAGTTTGTCTATTTCCTGTCGGAGAAGTAGCTGTCAATCTTCTGGCTGGGGTATCATAACACCTTCATTTTCCATCTAGTTGAACTGTGTGTTATGAACATCCATTCCTACTCAGAATCCAAGTGAATGAACTAGGCAATACTATAGGGAGGATCTGGGTTACAATAAGATATATGTGGTACTGCTCTTGGAGTCTGCTGTCACTGCCTCCCAACCAAGGAGAAAATATGGCTGCTGCCTTCCAAATGCAAATTGCAGGACCTTCAAAGAGGCATGGTGTCCTAGTGATGGGAGTTCTGAATTAACCTGACATCAATCAGGAGACAAAGTGGCAAGCATGGTCTGTCCAGGAAATTCCTGACTTTCTTGCTGACAATGTTCTCCTTCTGAGGCGCAAGAGATTAACCAACCTTGACTTGATGCTGATCAATAGGGAAGACTTAGCTGAGGAATTTGAAGTACAGGGACATTTGGGGACAGTAATCATGTATTCCTGGAATAAACGGATTTTAAGGGAAAATAAATGTGAATGTAATCAAACATTCTATCTTGTATTTTAACAAAAGGATTTTAATGAACTCAACAGAATAAGGAAGATCCCATGGCAGGAAAAGCAGCTCAAGATGGGCGGGGGGCAATATTAAAACATGATTGCAATGAAAATGGAAGACAGCAAAAGAAAACGATGTGGCTGCAAGAAAAGCTGTGAAGATCTGAAAATTCGGAAGGGCCATATAGGAAATAGAAAGAAGGTCAGATCGGCAAGGAGGAACCCTAGAGGTAGAGAGCTGGTGCTGGGAAATGAAACTTTGGAATGAACTGAGGTTACCAAAGGTTAGTTTACTGCTGGATTTTATTGATATTTAGAACATTACGTTGTGTCAAAAGGGAATGACCAGTGTGACTTAACTATACAATCCAGTTTTGTTCTTTATATCCTGCTTTTCTACAGATGCCTTTGAAGTGATTTGCTGGTAAACAAAGCTCAATGCACCCCAGCCCCCCATTTTTTAACCCGTGGAAACTTACTTTCAAGCAGCACCCTTCTGCCTAAGGATTCATTGCTGAATGTGGACAGTTTTCAAGCTGACAAACTGCTTATTAAGCCTGAAAGACCCATTATGACATAACCTATTTCAGCAAGGTGATACGCAGGAGCCAGCAGAGGAGAGAAGACAATGGCTTTCAGTTAGCTAAGGTCACATCAAGGTTTTATAGTGTCTGAAGAATTCTCTCCTCACTGGAGTTTGATAATCGTCAGAGTGTTTGAGTTAACATTTGTGCGGATTTGGTGTCACCTTCAGGAGATTTCCTGCATTACTGCAGGAACAATATTCCACTTCAAAGGCAGCCTGATGACTACCACCCAAACCCTTAACTCCATACAGCTAAAATGGAAGAGAAAAGCAAGAAGAAAAAGCGCCATTTGATGCTGGTGTTCTATTGGGTGAAGAAGCAGGTCCTGGATAAGAAATTATGCCCCGCACCTTCCAATTCTTATATGCCTTCCTCTACTTGCAAGGACCCCCACGTTTCGCCCTACTTTACCCGGAGCAAGGCAAAGCCCCCTCATCCCAGGAGAAGCACCAGGCATAAAGTCCTACCTCTACAGAAAGCAACCACGTATTCAATACCTTCAAAATCTGTCCTTGTCCGGAAGAAAGCCTACAGACGCTACAAGCAAAGGAGACAGAAGAAAGCAAAGAGAGAGGTAAGAGTGAAAGGTAGAAAATGGAAATAGGGAAAAAATGAGGAAGCACTGGGAATTATTGGAACTGAAGTCCAAACCATCTAGCGGGCCATGGATGGGAGCTGGTTTACAGGCAAGAGAGAGAAAGAGAAACACGGTAAGCCTGACATTTGTGGCTGTTGGCTTGGCTTGTTTGCTTCCTGGTCCTCCTTGGGCTGAGGCCGTCATCACTGTAGCCTCAACCGGCAAGTGAAACCACTTTTCATGGACATGGTAGAGCCACCTTATCCCTATTCAGGCTGCTGGGCTATCTGGCCTTGGGAGTGGCAGGGGGACTAAGGCCACCCTGTGCCAAGTGACTGTACCACATATTTTTCTTTTTCTTTTCAGGTAAATTATTTTGTTTTTTTTAATGGGTTAAGCCTGTTTTTAAGGCATCTGTGATAATTTCATGTTTCAACTTAAAATGGCAGAAGCTATGCGGCCAGTTTGGGGCAACAACACCACTGCATTGCAGGCATGTACAGGTAGTCCTCACTTAGTGACCATCTTGGACAGCAACCATTCACAGTTACAACGGTGATGAAAAAGTAACTTTGTGACCAATGCCTGCATTTATGACCTTTACAGGTCATAAGCAAAGGTCATAAGCAAAGGAAAACTGAAGTAAGATCATAAAATCATGATGTTTCATTTAGCAACTGCTTTGCTTAACAACCAAGTTGCTAGTCCCAATTGTGGTAGCTAATTGAGGACTACCTGTAGTCAGAGAAAATCCAGGGCAAGGGCTTTTCAGTAGGGCTCCCGTATCTGGGCTACAAAAATTCAGAGAATGGATGCTAGCTAAGGAAACCTCTCTTTGCTGCCATGTGGCTGTATGCTGCCCAGATATGGAAGCTCTATTTTCTATGATCACTAGCTCTCCATGGAGCAGCCAGGGATCAAACCTAGAATCTTTGGCATGCAGAGCAGGTGCTTGTCCACTAAGCTGCAGGTTTTGATTCCTGTTCTTTGGGATTGGCCTCAGACGTTTTGCTGTCAGAGGCTGAGGACAAGATAGTACCTATTCTACCTTCTACATACTGAGGCCAACTGGCAATTGGATCTTTTCAACACTGGTGATAGATGGCATCCTTCATCACATCTGAGGCAGGAGGTGAACATGTGAGGCTCTTGATTAGTGATATGACATTAAAAAATCCCTCTAAGGAAAGGAAACAGCTGGGGATAGTATGAGCAATAGTCAGGAGATCAACACAACTGCTCTCCAAGCGTTTGTCTCATGAGGCCATCGCTTCATTCTGTCTAATGGAAGGGTCAGCTCCTGTTTCTTTTTTCCCTCTTTGGCCAGTGGCAAATCAGGTATCTGTCACAGGTATTCTATTTTACAAAGAGAGGAGTTTCAAAAAATGAAAATCTAAATCATTTTCATGAAAGAATTTGTCTCCCCAATCTTTTTCTTGATCCGTGACACAGAAAAATCCAGGGTGATGTTTGGTAAAACTGTTCCATAAATTCCAAAAGAATAGCCAAGTTAATCTGTTGCAGCAAAAGTGATGACTCATTAACTTCTCAGTGAGGCTTGTTTATCCTGAGCAGCTCTTCTATTTTTTTCAGCAGCTCTTCAGCAAACAGATAAACACTTTGGTACTTGTTATGGTTTCTTTAATTAGATTAATATTAACCTGATCTCCAAGTTAAGTAGCCCAGAATAACTCATTCATCTAGTTCTCTCATCATTTGCAGCAAAGGAGTATCCACACGCAAAAGAAATTCAACCATTTTTATGGAGGAGCTAATCCAAAATAATAGGCTGCAGGTTGTAGCATTAATAAGGAGATATAATTCTTCATGCTAATTAGGGTTATTTTGTGATATTATAAACAGGAATTATAAATAAGTACTAGTATTATAAT